ATATAAAAACCTACTGTAAAAAATCGGCCACTTTGAAGCAGAGAACTTGAGTCCAGCAATGGTCCATGAAACTATCTATATGTACCTATGGAGTCCACACTATAATTTCACCATAACATTATTATACAACTGATCCTTCAATCTATTTAGAACATAAGATAAAGAAATGTATATTAATTTATTAAGCCATAAGTAAAGCAAACTTTATAAAAATAGCAACAATATCATAAAAACAATGAATATAAGCAAATAAAAAATTTGCTTTATTAAATGTATATATGTCAAAAGTTTGCCAAAACATTTCCAACTGACATATATAAAACAAATATAATAACTCATGAGATACATGCAAATCTGAAGTAACTCCTGATGCTTCACATGTGAAGCATCAGCAGCAATGTCAGACAATTCATGTGTAATATATTTTTACAAAATACAGAGATGCATCAGTAGTAATGTCTGGTGGGACATGTGTGAAACACTGGCAGTAACTTCTGGAGCACATGTAAAAAAATTGATGGGACACATGTGCAGCATCTGTAACAACATCTGGTGGAACATTTGAAACATTTGCAGAAACCTCTGATAGGACACATGCAAGTTATCTTTTGTAATTTCTGATAAAATATATGTTAAACATGTCATAACTGATAGAGGAAATGTAAGACATCCATAGTAACTTTTGACAGGACATGTGTCAAACACCTGTATTAAATTATCCACAGTTTATGAGAGAGGAACATAGAGTTATGGAGATGTTTTACTGAAATATACAGTCTGCCAATGTTACCTTCCCTATATTATTCTGTGTAAACATGAATACAAATTTTGCTTATAAAAATTGCACTGCTGAAATGAATGAACAAAAGACAAATAATTTGACTGACTGTATATATCAACACATTTCCCAGGCATGGGCATAACAGAGGATTTCCCACAACCATCCTTGGATGACAACAGCAGACAATTTGCCTGCTAACTCATCATCACAAAGACTGGCTATTACAGTTCAACAAAATAGTCAACATTACAGGGGTCTATATAACACAATTGTATCCCAGAATAGAATTGGCTTCCTAAACACTATTGATCAAATATTAACAATTTGTTATTTACTAAAATGAATTATGATAGTGGCTGAAAATGCATCAGGTATAAATGTATGTAATGGTTGAAACACGAAAGACAAATGTCATGGACATTGAGCACCAGAGATCTTTGGAAGTTGTTATTCAAAAACTAGGAATATTCAAGGCTAAAAGATTCCAGACAAAATATTAACAACCTATGGTCATATTATGATAATGCAAATGCAATCACAATATTAAAAATCTCTTGGAATATAATATATATATATATATATATATATATATATATATATATATATATATATATATATATATATATATATATATATATATATATATATATATATATATATATATATATATATACAGTGGCACCTCAGTTGACAACTGCCCTAAAGTATGAATTTTTTGGTGTATGACGTCAAATTCGTTGTAAAATTTGAATTGGTGTACGATGGTTTACTTGGAAGCTGAGGTCTGTTCGTCCGCGTATGGGTCGAATGAACGCATGGTGCTGTGATTGCAGGGTGAGGCACTCTCAGTTTGCTTACAAGTCTATCCCACGTAGTGACGACTGTGGCCATGCTTGAATTCTTTGTGAAGAATTTCATTGTTTGCCTCCTTTTTTGCTTTTTTTAAAATAAAAGTTCTTATTATATATCATGCCAAGGGTTTTAAGAAAGTCAGTGGTAAAGTTCAACCTAAACTTTGGTTGAAAAGGCTCACCCAAATCAAGCTGTAGCAGGCTGTTGTGTTAATCTTTTTAATGACAATATGATGTCTCACTTCAGACGTGTGTTACAACATAGTGAAAAATAAGTGTCGCTAAACAGGATTTTAGTGAGAAAAACAAGCAATGAGCCACAAGCAGGTCCTAGTGGTATGCAGCAAAATGAAGGAGAGAGAGTAACCCAGAAAAGTCATCACTGCCTGATGTTATAATGGAAGGGGGGGACTCCCCTTTCAAATACTAATATCTCCCCTCCTTCTTACTGTTTTTCATACACCAATAAGAGTCCTCATTCAATGTAAGACATAAATACTGTATTGTAGATATTACAAAATGAGCGTTATTTAGTATAAAATGTATTTTTAAGTTAATATTTTTGGGAGTGTGGAACGGATTAATTCAATTTACATTATCTCTTATAGGAAATTTAATTTTGGTTGACGACGCATCTCTGAGAACGGATTACAATCATAAACGAAGGTACCACTGTATATATTGTGTATATATATTATATATATATATATATATATATATATATATATATATATATATATATATATATATATATATATATATATATATATATATATATATATATGTTGTACCTAGTAGCCAGAATGTCGTACTCTGCCTACTATGCAAGGCCCAATTTGCCTAATAAGCCAAGTTTTCCTGAATTTATATATTTTTCAATATTTTTTCTTATGAAATGATAAAGCTATCCATTTCAATATGTATGAGTTAATTTTTTTAAATTTGAGCTTAAACTAATGTAGATATATGACTGAACCTAACCAACCCTACCTAACCTAACCTAACCTATCGTAACCTAACCTAAACTAACACAATTAAGTCAATAATTTATGTTCTTAATATAATATAATAATAATAATTAAAATAAACTAATTGGAAACAATTTATTGAAAATAAAGAAAATCACCCGGCCTATTAAGCAAATCGGGCCTTGCATAGTAGGCCGAGAAGTGCGTTCTGGCTACTAGGTACGACATATATATATATATATATATATATATATATATATATATATATATATATATATATATATATATATATATATATATATATATATAAATAATATACCGTATTTGCCGGCGTAAAAGAAGCACCCCTCACATAGGACGCACCCCCTATTTTACAAGGATATTTTGTGGGGAATAAACTATTTTAATATGTTTCATCCTTCACTTATAGTGAAGGAAATCCTTCACTTATAGTGAGGGATTTTTAAAGTGTATTTTGTGCTCCACTCTTACCTCCTCTAAGATCAGTTGTGTAGTTGCTTATATTTTGGGTAAGAGAATTGCTATACAGGATGTGAAACTTGTATTTCTGGATGTGATGTTTTGTTGCTGCATCAGTCCACCAGAGCGGCACACCCGGGGGTGGTACACCATTGCAGCACTATGGTTTTGTTGTCATTCACTCATTGCAAATGGCTGACAGGCGGATGAAAGTTGAACATTCCTTTCAAATTTTTTGGAGCATTTTCATTTAATGAATAAATGTGTCTTAAAGGTAACACAGTTGTTAAATAATGTATGACATATATCAGGTGTGGGTTATGTATGCTGGGTAAGGTGGCGAGATGATTTGAGTTTCCTTCATAATTGCCGACAGATCGTAAGCACTTTTTCAGAAGTTTGTGATAACAGACAGTGATAGCTTGGCTTGCTTTCAATATTTTATTATTAGTAACACAATTTACTGTAATAATATAGCTTGTTTTCAATATTTTATTATTAGTATCGATTTTTGTGCTTAGCAAAATTACCCATTATGCTCATGGCTCCCTAGCCTATGGTGCTCGGTCTTACATCCATAATAAGGCCGCATTAGATGCAGGACACTTTTTGATACATTTAAAAATAAAAAATTGTGTCTAATATGCTGGCAAGTACGGTACACACAGATATATATATATATATATATATATATATATATATATATATATATATATATATATATATATATATATATATATGTCGTACCTAATAGCCAGAACGCACTTCTCAGCCTACTATGCAAAGCCCGATTTGCCTAATAAGCCAAGTTTTCATAAATTAATTGTTTTTCGACTACCTAACCTAACCTAACCTAACTTTTTTGGCTACCTAACCTAACCTAACCTATAAAGATAGGTTTGGTTAGGTTAGGTAGGGTTGGTTAGGTTCGGTCATATATCTACGTTAATTTTAACTCCAATTATAAAAAATTGACCTCAAACATAATGAAATGGGTAGCTTTATCATTTCATAAGAAAAAAACTCGAGAAAATATATTAATTCATGAAAATTTGGCTTATCAGGCAAATCGGGCCTTGCATAGTAGGCTGAGAAGTGCGTTCTGGCTATTAGGTACGACATATATATATATGACAGTATCAGACCACGAAGGAGGATTAAGACAGGAATTTCCTTAAGTACCTTTGTATTTAATAATACATCTTCAGAAGCATCCTTCTGACAATGTATTATTAAATATGAAAGTACTTAAGGAAATTCCTGTCTTAATCCTCCTTCGTGGTCTGTCACTGTTACAGTGTTCATCACATGTTAATTTCTTTGTGATTTACTCACACACACACACACACACACTCGTGTATATATATATATATATATATATATATATATATATATATATATATATATATATATATATATATATATATATATATATATATATATATATATATATATATATTGAATATTGACCCTATTCATCTATCCATGACAAAAAATACATCACTGTGGCCCTGGATTCCTTTTCTGGGACACAAAAGGAGATTCAGGTGGCCCTTGTCTCCAGCACCTGACCACCATATAGAGGATTTGAAAATACAGGAGATAAACAAAGTTATCAGTTCTTGTGAGCATATGTTGGTCATTTAGTGTGACAGACTTTCTGTTAATTGTGCCTGAAGAACTGAGTCCCAATAATATTTTGCAAGAGCTCATCTCCTTTGTCTTGCCAACTTCAGTTAGAATCATTTCAAATTTAGATTATTCTTGTAATTTTTTAATTAAATCTCATTGAATTATTTAGTGCATCAATATTATCACAATAGTACCAAATCGGTACTAAAACATAAGATTACAAGACACTCCTCCAGTTTTCAAAGCCTCCAATAATGAAGTATAAAATATGGATATAAATGTACAGTGAACTTTAGATTCTTTTAATGAAACTAACAGTCCTACAGAGTCACCTAAAGTAATTTTTACATCATAACAAATGCAAATAAAACAAGATTTCTAACTCTTGTTTCCCCAAAAAATCAGTTCAAATCAGACAAGTGGGACTCAAAACCAACTTGTCATTACCAGTGACATAAAATATTAAACCCATTCAAGAAACCAACATTTCTCTTTGTAGACAGAATCACTGAGCCCCTAAGATAAAACGAAACATTGTTAGGTACTTGGTTACCATATTTACCCTGAATAGTTCTGCTTATTCTTGCTATGCAAGAGTGATGAACTCCACATTCTATATTAAAGTTTTGGACTATTTTAAAAGAGCTAGGCTACTTAGAAAGCCTATTTTTTGTAAGAAATTTCCACCTGAAGTGAATTATCATCCCAAGAGCTTTGATACTCTTCTTTGCTTGTCATTACCCATTCTCTGTTTTTTCAGTATTTAATATACTAATATTATTTACCATGAACTTTAATAGCAGATGAATGCAGACTAAACTTCAATATTGGGCTAAGTTGTGTGTTTGGTTTTCCGACAAAAAGTGTCACGCGTGTTTCTAGGATCACAGGATTATACTGCTACTCTCTACAACAATAACAAAGACCCACACCCAAAAAAAAAAGGTGTGAGTCACCTGCCAGCTTTTCTGGCCAAGCAAAAATAAGAATAATAAAAACAATAAAATATTTAATATAATAATAATAATAATAATAATAATAATAATAATAATAATAATAATAATGACCATTGAATTGAACTCTGAAGGAAAACAAGCAAATTCCTAAGAGACAGAAGCTGTAAGAAATTATGGATGACATGAGGTGATTTCAGTACCTTTCAATGAAACTTGTTTGAGAGGAAATAACAACAGATTATCACAATTGAGAGAGGCACTTTGGGTTAAATAAGTTAACCCCTACTCAAATGTGTAGAGGTTATACAGCATTGATTTCACTTGCTGGTTCTCATAGCCTGAGGATAATGGGGGATATGATCTGTGCGTGGTGCTATATCCCATTATTGGTAAGGAATATGGTAGACAATCTGAATTGACCCTCAATCAGAGAATACATTACTTGTCTTACACCTAACCTTACAGAGAACTGACATAACATTTGCTTTAATATCCCCAGAAAATTCAGGGATATGATAACTTCCAAGTGCGAGCACAAGGATGAAGATATATGAAAGATATGCTGTCTAATAACTGGAGTAGGCTTTCTATAAGATTCCATTTACAAAAATAATCTTACTGAAAGCATCTCAGAAACTAGACTCTGCTAATCATTTCACATATCTTAATCTCTTTGTTAAGGAGAACCCACACACAAGGGATTAAACCTTCTGTGGGTACTTCACCACCCTGGGTGAACCAACAATTGCTTGTACACAAACCAAACAACGAGATCCTAACAAATATGACTCGTTCACCCTACTATATGAACAGCTGTATGTGAAAAATAGGCTATGCCATACTTCCTGATGCAGTTTCATCAGCATTATAGGAATAGTGTAGGGCTCAAACTCTTGTGATTCCCTTCCAAGATGAGAATGTGACTATACTCACAAGTATAAAATTATTCACAAGTTTGGGAGAATAGCACTACCTCATCCTGTCCTTTCACCTTCAACAGATGCCCTAGAAAACCTTATTTTTGTTATCCCTCTGTCTCCCACAGAAGAATATCCACAGAGCAGAGGCAGCTTGAGGGGCAGGACCATAGGACCAAAGAGAGGTTCTCTTTCCAGAGCACTTATAACCCTTGTACGAGCATCTTAAGAAGGCTTCTTCACAAAGCCTCCAATGACACATGAGGAATCATGAGGTTGGAAGAGGTTAAATGGACACATCAATGATCCACCATATAACAGATTTAGAAGGTCTCTAATTTACGTATTTCTATAAGGGTGATTGGTGATCATAATATGATGAATCTGGTTTTTGTCTGGATGGGCCCCGTGACTCAGGAGAGGCATCTTCTGGGGCTAGTTCTTGTTGGGAAGCAGAGAGAATATTGTGAGCAGCTCGGTCCATTTCCTCTGTGGTCATTTCCAAGGCCTCTGCAATTTCCCTTGAAGTTGTACGTACAAATTCAGGATCACAGTATTTCCCCAAACCCTGATCAGCCAACACCTGTTAAAATATAAAATGCAATGAAATTCTTGTATTACATTACTAATACTGGATTAGTGATACAATGATAAAATTATATTCCACAAATTGCATACTGATAATCATAATTTTACAGACCCAGTGAAAAAAACCCAGACCAGTGTTGAATGTAATAAAACGCTTCTTTATGTAGGGCTTCGGTGTCTCCCTGAAACTATATATCACTGAGATGATTACCCCCCCAACTGAGTCACATCAGCTATTAGAATCTTGTGATATGTTGACCAGACCACACACTAGAAATTGAAGGGACGACGACGTTTCGGTCCGTCCTGGACCATTCTCAAGTCGATTGTGATATGGTCTACCAGGGACCAGAGTAAGAACCTGACCTTTCCCCTCTCACAGAGGTACATGGAGCAGGTGATTGTTATGATCACCCTTACCAAGAAAACATCCAGAAAGTAAGCAAAGTAATACAGAAAACTGGAAGGTTAAAAGAAAATGAAGCATTGAAACAGCCAAATTACTCCACAAGTGATTCACTCAGACCTAAATGAGCCTAGTTATAATCCCACTGACCTCCTAATTGTGAATGGCCGCCATCAAGTGGCAGTACAATAGAACCTAGGTTTTCGAATGCCCCTGTTTTCAAATTTTTCAGTTCTCGAGCTCAATTTCTTCAAAAAATCTGACTCCGTACTTGAGGTTTGCCTCGGTGCTCGAGTTTGTTGATACATGTATGAGCTGACTGAGCGCATGGCACGCTTCAGTTTACCAGTGTCTCCCGCTTAGTGACGAACGTGCTTTAATTCTTTATGAAGAATTTCATTGTTTTTGTGCTTTTTAGGTCTCTGAACATAAAAGTTCTTATATATATATATATGTCAAGATGAAGAAAAACACAATTACTGTGGATTTGAAGAAGGAAATTATAGCAAAGCATGAGCGTGGTGTCTGTGTGACTGCTCTCACAAGGGCGTATGGCAGGACCTCATCAACAATATGCACCATTAGTAAGGGGATGAGGAGGTAAGGGAGGATGCTGCCTCTTCCAGTGAGATCAAGGAAGTGTTGGTAATGTTTGAAAAGGTGACCGCATTCTTGGAAAAACGGCCCTGATAAAGCAGTAACAACCCAGTGTGTGAACATGTTTAATGACAATTTGCTGTCTTGTTTGAGGAACATCCTAAAACAAAGACAAAAGCAATTGTCAATAGATATGTTCTTTGCAAAAGTAGAGAAAAGAAGAGCCAGTGATAGTCGTTAAACTCGTTAATAGAGGTGCCACTGTATATAAATAAATATATGTATATATACATATATTTATATATATATATATATATATATATATATATATATATATATATATATATATATATATATATATATATATATATATATATATATATATATATATATATATATATATATATATATATATATATATATATATATATATATATATATATATATATATATATATATATATATATATATAAATATATATATATTTTGGTAGCAGTCTTTCTTGTAAACATATGTTGTTAAATATGACCGAAAAAGTAAGATTAATAATTCTAACACAAATTTCTTAATATTTCTTATGTTTCTTTTCTCTGTCAATGGTAATTGAAAAAGCAATTCTCCAAAATTCATTTTTATTTCTACTCTGACACGACGCTTGAACGTGTTTCGTAATAACTTATTACATTTTCAAAGACTTTAGTTTACACACACAACTGTAACCTGAAAAACTAAACAGAGTCAGCTAATCCGTCATACGTATACTTGCATATGGGTGAGGTGATATGGTGCAACAGTTTCGGATGAGGTGAACAAACTTGTGACAAATACAAGACAGAACACGAAACTGTGGGTATTAATTGGATATGAGAGCATAAGAATGGAAGTAACTGCAGAGCCTATTGGTCCATACTTCCTCTTGATGCTTCTATATTGGTTCGGAGTCTTGAAGTCGGTAGAATATAATTGTGCATTAATTGGCTGTTGATTGCTGGGGTTGACTTTTTGATGTGTAGTGCCTCGCAGATATCGAGCCGCCTGCTATCGCTGTACCTATCGATGACTTCTGTGTTGTTTGTTAAGACTTCTCTGGTGATGGTCTGGTTGTGAGAGATTTTATGTTTCTTTATGGAGCCCTGTTGTTTATGCATTGTTAATCGCCTGGAAAGAGACGTTGTCTTGCCTATATACTGAGTTCTTTGGGGCTTACAGTCCCCAAGTGGGCATTTGAAGGCATAGACAACATTGATTTCCTTCATGGCATTCTGCTTTGTGTCTGGAGAGTTTTTCATGGGTAGGCTGGGCGTTTTTTTGGTTTTATAGTAAATCGTCAATTGTATTTTTTGTTTTTTGTCTGTAGGGATAACGTTCCTATCAACAATATCTTTCAGGACCCTTTCCTCCATTTTATGAGCTGTTGAAACGAAGTTCCTGTAAAATAGTCTAATAGGGGGTAAATGTGTTGTGTTAGTTGACTCTTCAGAGATTGCATGGAAAGGTAAAATGCCATGCAACCTCTGAAGAGTCAAGTGTATATATATATATATATATATATATATATATATATATATATATATATATATATATATATATATATATATATATATATATATATATTATTTATTTATTTATTTATTTATTTATTTATATTTATTGTAGATACAGCGATAGCAGGCGGCTTGACATCTGCGAGGCACTACACATCAAGAAGTCAACTCACTACATACAAAATAGTAACAGGAATTGATAAAATCGATAGGGAAGATTTCCTGAGACCTGGAACTTTAAGAACAAGAGGTCATAGATATAAACTAGCTAAACACAGATGCCGAAGAAATATAAGAAAATTCACTTTCGCAAACAGAGTGGTAGACGGAACAAGTTAGGGGAGAAGGTGGTGGAGGCCAAGACCGTCAGTAGTTTCAAAACGTTATATGACAAAGAGTGCTAGGAAGACGGGACACCACGAGCATAGCTCTCATCCTGTAACTACACTTAGGTAATTACATCAGCAATCAACAGCCAATTAATGCACATTTATATTCTACCCACTTCAAGACTCCGCACCAATATAGAAGCATCAAGAAATATGGGCCAATAGGCCCTTTACAGTTACTTCCATCCTTCCCTTTAACCCTCAAACCGCTAGGGGCCCAAATGGAATTCACACCCACAGGCGCAACAAAAAAAAAATCCAAAAATTCTTTCGTCTTAAAGAAGTGTTCATTTTTGTTCCCTGATCACGGAAAAAATAACAAAAAAAATCGTAGGTGGCATCAATTTTTAGCCGCAATAGGGTAGGGAAGTGTGGCAAAAAAGGGACGTTTGCAGAGCCTTCGCCAGACGAGGTCTACTCCACCCGAGCTGTCAGACGGCAGTTGCCACAAATATATTATTACCTAATTATTTCAATGTCTCTGATTTTTTCTTAGTTTTTTTGCAGTAATATTATTCCATAGAGTGAATTGTGGTATATTTATATTATAAAATGTGTGAACCATCGCTGTACTCAAAATTATGGTGTGCATATTAATGATTCAATTATTATGTTCATAAAACAATAAACAAATAGTTTTGCTGTTGTTACACTATATACACAGGTTATATATAAGTATCTGCATGTTTTGTACACCATAACGAACTACTAAGTTGGTCTTGTGAGTCAAAAAGCAACGAGAAGTGACCGCCAAACACCAGCGAGCCACTCAGTGCCACTCCCTCCCTCAACACCACCTCACTCACCTCCCATAATACTGTTTCTGTATTTATTCACTATACACAGACGTTATATATACGTATTTACATGTTTTGTTCACCATAACTGTACATCTAAGCTTGTATGGTGGGTAAAGGCACAAAGACGTAGCTACTCACACAGTCAGCTGATCGGCGGCCGCCCTCAAGGCCAGACACACTAATATTTGTCCTCCAACAATATTGTTTGTGGTGTTATTACGCTATATACACACATTATATATAAGTATCTACCTGTTTTATTCACCATACCTGTACAAATAAGCTGGTATGGTGCCCAAAGACCATAGTGGCCATCAGTAAACAACATGCCAAGTCGTGCAGATGACGCTTCTCCCTCACCAAAATGGCGGCTCCCAACCTACTCCTCTCGCTGTTATCTCACACTATACACATGTTATATATAAGTATCTACATTTGTGTTCACCATAGCGAACCACTAAGCTGGTATGGTGAGTGCCGTCAATAAATGGTGCCACACCCAGTCAGAAAACGACGCCACAACCCTCCCTCCACAGCCTTACTCCTCCCTCCATGGAGCACAGCGCTAAATATCACCACAATCCTACTATTATCAGAATCCTGGTCAGTTTTATCACAGTCAGGGGGCTTCAGTAATACTATCACTGCTAAATAATAGCAGTATCATTTATATTATGGTATTTGTAGGCGATGCTGTGGTCACAAGCTGAACAGCGGTGCTGTGAGCTCGTGCTGCATGCGCCAGCCTTGGTGGCTTGCTCAATACTGACGCTGTAACACCCAAGAATGTTGGCCTGGACTTTTTTTCTAGGTGGCATCTGGCAACTATCGGTCGTGGCTGTACTATAGATGCCCCTATCCCAGGAGGGGCATTTAAATTATAGCGCTAGACACGAAATCATATATAAATGATGTGCGCGGTTTCGGTTTTGTCACTGATATCATTTATGTATGATATGCGCGGTTTGAGGGTTAATTTACCCAATTTATACCCATTGTTTCGTGTTCTATCTTGTGTTGAAAGTTTTGTTCACCTCATCCAAAACTGTTGTAACATATCACCTCACCAAAATGCGGGTATATAAGATGAAAGGTGTTTAAATGATAGCATAGAACTGTTTAGTGTTTACAGGTTATAGATGTGTGTGTGTGTAAACTAAAGTCTTTGAAAATGTAATAGTTATTACGAAACGCGTTCAAGTGTCACGTCAGACTAGAAATAAAAATGAATTTTGGAGAATTGATTTTTCAATTACCAT